TCCACCAGCTTCACTGATACCGAGGGGACAGAAAGACACTATAAAGTTTCTTAAAAAGAAATACACTGGATTTTCTGCAGGAAGTTTGAAAGGTGTTCTAAGTAAAACCAGAAATAGTTCCACTTTTTACTTAGATAAAACAACGTTTGCAAGGCGTAGGCAAACAGCAGAGGTGATAAGAAGCCGGGGAGGTGACAGAGAGGCAGAAAACTCCTCCAAGTTTCTACTCGGGCGGTCAATAGCGCTGCGGCGGCCCGGCCGGGCTGTGGCAATCTCCATGACACCGCAGCTCGCCGGCCGCAGGAGTGCGGCACTCTGGGAAGCGCCGCTTCCCTGCCATCTTCCTCCGGCCGCTCTCGGCCTCGGCAGCGGCTCCCCCGGCCCCGCTCGCTCTTCACCCTGGCCGGGCTAAGGCTGGGGGACTGCGGGCTGCCCAAGGTCACACCGCCGGCTCCCCGCCGGGCCAGGCCCGATTCTCCCCGCGCGGCCCAGTCCGGCTCCCCTGTCCTCCAGAGCCCCTCGAGGGCCGCTCCCCCCGCACGACGGGGCTGGGCCCGGGGATCCCTCCAAGGGCGCCCGCCCCTCCCGTCACTGCCGGAGTCCCCCTGCCCCGCAGGCCTCGTTCCCCGCCGGCCCACAGCTGCCCCGGCCGCGCACTCACCGCCGCGGGGACTCGCTGCCTCCGCCCGCCGGCCCGGAGCAGGCCCATGTCCGAGCGCGGCTGCCGAGGAAACGCTACGCGGCCATGGCTGCTAGGGCGGAACTCGGCGGCGTCCCTCCCTCCCTGCTTCCCTCCCTCCTGCCGGGCCTCCGCTCCCCGCGGGGGCGGGGACTGGCACGGCCCTATCCGTGCCGCGGGGCCGACTCGGGCCGCGCTCCTGTAGGCGGGGGACCCACACCCGCCGTGGAGCTGCCTCGGAACGGGAGTGGCTCTGGGACGGTGTGAGGGGACGGAGACGCGAGTGACCTCGGCCCAACAGCACCCGCCCGCCCTGGAGAGCGCTCCGAGGGAGCGGGCGGTTACCTGCCGTGACCTGGCAGCCTCCGTGGGCTGCTGCCCCGCCGGGCCTGGCTCCTGTCTCGGGACCGGGAGATTCGTTACCGTGGCCAAGCCACTAAGAGCGGGTTCCGGGATCTGTCACATTCTGTAGAGCATCCCAGCGTTTGAGTGGGGTATTAAACTGGCTCACTGTGCAATCCGGTGTGGGAACGTGAGACACCTCTTTATAAAAATACCCTATTTTTAGTCTAGAAGAAACTGGCTTGATAGGGGACACTCTTAAGTTTTCTGCTGATGACAGTGTTTTCTGTGTACCTTGTGTTACTACAAGCATCGTACCTCAGCGACGGCAGGTATGTGTGTATGTGCTGTACAGTCATGCTGGGACAAGGGGAGAAGCTGGTCATGCCATGCAGATGTTACACAAATGGAGGAGATGCTCTATGCTGCCAAAGTCTTGGCCTGTCCCCTAACTGTGTTGGAGAGTGAGGGGATTCAACAACTACATTTCAACTTGGTACTCAGTTTTGCCAATGGAAATGTCTTGTGAGCTGAAGCAGTTTCCATCAGTGACTTTAGAAAAAGGGGAGGTCTTAGAGCTTAAACAGGGAGGTTTAGAGAACATGGAGATGCCTGCCTCCGTGTAGCCTTCCAAAATACGTCTGATTGCTTGCCCAGGAAGCTGAATTGTAGCATAGCACCTAGCAGTACAGTAATGTTGGTTGGTACTGGGCACATGAAAGGCTCAAACAATCTCTCCTTCTGTAGTTTGCAGTGTGTGTGGGTGATCAGGCATGTGAAAGGTTTTGTGAGAAATGAGAATGTCTTCTATATTGTGCAGAAAGGTTAATACCAAAGTAAGTCAATAGATTGCAACAACTCTAAGCTGAACTTAGTAACACCATGCTCTTGTGTGTGCCTTTTTCAGATCTGCTATATGTGTTTTAGCCAGGGTGGGTGATGCCAGAAAGTTATGATAAGATGGAAGGGGTAAGTTTGGTGATGTCAGAGCTTGGGATGAGTACAAATTAATGATGACTCTCATACTCACTGCTGTCCAAACTGGACTCAGTTTAATCCCTTTTATTTTTTTTTCTTATATTAAAAAATTGTGTGATACAATCTTTGATCTTGCTTGTATGGGCAAACCCGAGCCATATGTAGAAAAGTGTTGGGGAGGAGCTGCCTGTGCAATTAGCTTTATCCCACTTCAGAGCTTGTTAAAACATGCTAATAATGTTGATTACCTTATAACATGCTGTGCTTGCCTCGGGTTAGAACACATTTTCCTATCAGCACGTATATTCTTGTGTAGCAGTATTAAATAAATAAAGAAAATAATTTTAAACAGTAGAAATTGGTGTGCTTTTTAGTAGAATGTATTAGATTATTTAGCTAAAAAAACTTATATCTTCCAAAGTGGGGTAAAATAGAAACCAACTACTTTACAGATGGGAAATGTATCCTTACTTGCCTACATCAGACATCCAGTGCCTCTCTCTTGCATTTGTTTTTGGTGAATCCTGTAAAAGAACCAGACTTGATTATTTTGTGATCATAATAGTGAAAACTGATATACAGTGCTAATGGACTAAATGCAGACTGCATTCCTCACCTCTATGAAAGATTGTCATTAATATGGAAAGATTGGCTTTTCTGTAGCACTGCTACCGTTTATAGGCACACACCTGTGAGGACATAGTACCATTTTCTGTGTCTACTGCTACTGCGTAAATGAAAATGCTAAACCTTTGTTGAGAGACACAGACACTTGCTAACAACGGAAGAGAAACGTGCTGAAGGTTGGATTTAAGGTTTCTATGCTCTGGGTAACCAGTGGCAGCCCCGAGGTGTTTGGATTTGTTCTCTAGTGTTCTGGCTGAGCAGGCCCAGAAAAACCAGTCCACAGGTGACAACATATGAAGAAACGGTTACTCCAATACTGTTATTTGTATTTTGTACAAAGCTGCATTAGGGAGGTCAAAGGCAAATAATAATGGCTCTGTAAACAAAGTTATTACAGGTATTCCTCTGATTATCTAGTGGGTATTATAATCTCCAAAATAACAGACTGGAATTTTGTTGTTGGTGTTTTCCTGAAGGATGACGATTATGAGGGCCATGCTTCACAGTAGCAGATGTGCAACTTGGAACAGCTTTGAGGAGAATGTGAGCACAACCATTTTGCATTGTTGAAACAAAACTGGGAGAGAAATGTTTCAGGGCCTGGGCTGTCAGGTTCAGTACCGGCCTGGGACTGACGGCCAGAGCCCTGTGAAAGGGCAGCAACGACTGAAGACTATTTTGGAACTGTCATCCTATCAAGTCCAATCTTTATGATCCCAAAGTGTATCTTCCCCCGTATCTGCAACTGGTGAGGCTACATCTTGTGTACTGAATCCAGTTCTCCGACCCTTAATTCAAGGACATTTTGGGGCTAGAGCAGGTCCACAGAAGGGCAGTGAAGGTGGTGAGGTACCTGGAACACAAGTCCTGTGAAGAGCCGCTGAGGGGGCTGGGGGTTCAGCCTGGAGGAGGCTCAGGGGTGACTTTATCGCTCTCTACAACTCCCAGATATGAGGTTGTGGCCACATGGGAGGGAGTTGGTCTCTCCAGGTAACCATTGCAAGAACACGAGGACGGTTTTGAGTTGTGCTAGGGAAAGTTTGTGTTGGACATTAAGAATTTCTTCACAGAAAGGGTGATTAGACATTGCAACGTGCTGCCCAGGGAGGTGGTGGAGTCACCGTCCCTGGGAGCGTTGAAGGCAAGATTGGACCTGCCACTCAGTGCCATGGTCTAAGCTGACACAGTGGCTTTGGGTCACACGTTGGACTCTTACAATCTCTGAGGCCTTCTCCAACCGAAGTGATTCCGTGATTATCTCTAAAGCCCTGCCTCAGACAGGCAAGCAGCAAAATCTATGCTCAGACAGCGCACCCTCACCTGGGAGCACAAGCGGAGCCCCAGCAGCCAAGAGGCGTGAGACGCAAGCCCCGTCGCCCTATGGCAGAGAGTAACCCAGGATAGCGCCCCTGTTCTTATTCCATAAGCTGCCTCTAGGGAGGCCACCCGGACCCGCCGAGAACGCGGGGCCGGCCCTGCCCCCGCCGGGCGGGCAGCGGGACGGAACATGGCGGGGCCCCTCCAGCCCGCGCTTCCCCGCCTTTCCCCGCGGCGGCGCGCATGCGCGCTGTGCGGCGGTGAGGCCGTATCCCTCCGCGCGCCCCTTTTCCCTCGATGTCTGTGTTAATAAGGTAATTCCCGCGCCCATGGTAAGTGCCGGGAGCCCCTCCGGGCCCGCCCGGGGCGCCCCGCGCCGCCTCGCGCCCGCCCGCGCGCCCGCGGCGGGGCAGAGCCGCGCGGAGCCGCGCCACTCCCCTCCGCCCGCCGTGTCCCTCCGCCGGGCGCGGCGCGGACTCTCGTGTGGGGCTCTCGGCCTGCGGAGCCCCGGGTCGGTGCGGCGGCGGCGGCCGGGCCGGCAGCACGGTAAGGGCCCGTCCCCGCGCCTCGTCTCTCCCTCACCCCCCCCGGGCCGGCCAAGCTTTTCCAGGTCAGTCTGCGCCTTTGTATAGGGCCCTGTTACCGGATGTGGAAGTTGATCTCTTCGCTGGTAAAAAATAATTCCACTTCCCCCGGAACCCGGTGCCGCGGCTCCCTCCGCAGCGCCCAGCCCAGCCAGGATTTCCTGTCGGGGAGAGCGGGCGGCCGGCCGGCCTTCCGGGGACCCCGCCGCGCGGGGGGCGCGGGCGGCGCGCTGGGCCGCGGCGGCGGCCTGGGCGGCCCGCGGGACGCGGGCGAGCGCGACGCGCCCGGCGAGGGACCCGGGAGCTGAGGGGCAGAGCGGGGCTCGGCTCGTCCCGCGGGTTTCTCCGTCGGGCAGCGCGGTGTGGGCCGCGTGGGCACGGTCCCGAGCCCCGCGTGGGCCGGGGGGGCCGGTGGGGCCGCGGCCCGGGCTCCCGAGGCGGCGGGGCTGCGTGCGCGAGCTTGGCGCCAAAGGTGCCCTGGGGAGAGGCGGCTCGGGCGGGAAGGGAGCGGTTTCCCCTCCGCAGTGCCCCTCACCCGCAGTCTGTAACTCTTGCTTTGGACTCTTAATAAAGCGTGTGGTGGGACCATAAAAGTGGGATACTATACGTTAGTGCGGATTGTCGTTTTTTTTCTGTTGTCCCCAAATAGAGTAGTTTCCGTTGGTGGGACAGTCGTGGCACGTCGGTGAAATCCCCTGTAGGAAGTCGTCTGTGGTAGTTCTTAAGGCATTTGTGTATTTTCCTTTAACCTTCTTACTGAGGTGGCTTTGATTAACGGCGAATGCTTCAGAGTTGTGAATGCACACCCTGCAGTTTTCAGCCTATTTTAAATTATTCGTTACTTCTGAATATTAGTGAGACCGTGCAGTTAGCTGAGTTTTGTATGCCCACAAACGTTTGTAAGAGAACATAAGTGTGCCGTGTGAGAAAGGTTAAGAGTGTATGTGGCACATCAGCATATACTAGAGACACTTGTTTGTGACCCACTTTCTTTGCTGAAAACACTTTGTTTTCTAGTTGAGGTTTTTTTTAGGCCTATGTGCCAGGCAGAAACTGTCGAGGAAGTTTCCTCATGATAAAACGGATGTTGTAGGGAGGAGGTGGATGATTTTTATTTGATGGTATTTTCAAGCTTAATCAACCTGAGAGAGCCTCCTAAGCCTACGGTACAGTTCAAAGGCTACATCACAAGCCCTTAGATTCTTCATGTCAATCACAGCTGCTGCAAATTAACCTTTTTGCTATCTAGTGCCAAATTAATTTGTGAAAACTGTATAGCTTGTTGGCAGTGCCAGTCCAAATCTTGGTGCCAATGGTTCACCCTTGTTGCATAAGAACACTCCTTAGATGTTGCAGATAATGGCCAAATCTGTGCTTTTCTTTGTAAGAAAAGACTTTTCTACAGTCTCTGTTATTTAATGAGTTCATTGTTGATTGGTGCTTTTTTAAGTTAACGTGTGAGCCTAATAGGAAGACAGACCTGCATTAATAACAGGCCTGGCTGTCTTTGCCACTAAGCTATTCAACAATGTTTGCTTTTCTCAGATCAGGTATTTCTCATTTGATGCATGTCTGACATGAAGGTCATGTTGCTGTTCAAGCGAACTAGAGAGAATTTAATTACAAATACAACAGTCGGAGGAAAGCTGAAAGGACTGGAATGAACACTGACTGCCATTAACATATTAGTGTAATTTTCACTATCATGATAGAAACGTGGATAGTTTAAGCCTATGATGTTTATATTAAGATCTGAAGTATTGCTTGTGAAATCATTGTCAAAAGATGTTTGATTCATGTAGGAAACTAGATGGGAACTTTTTGACTTTATCCCATGTAAGTCACTATAATCTCTGCTAATTGATATGTACATTAAAATGATGCCAAAGTGATCAAGATAGGCTAACTACTCTGATGTGTTTCAAAATATTATTGACTTTGGTATGGACAGGCACATAAAATTAGCTGGAAATGGCTATTCTGAATTTCTAGCAATACTGTGAGATGTTGAAATCAGTAGGGTGATAGTATTTCTGAAGGTCAGGTCTGGTGAAGCGGGTTACATTGTTTTTTTCTTAAGTAGTGGAAAGAAAAAGGCATTCTGAAAGGCCATTCTTTTTCCAGATGTAATGAATGTGAGAGATGATAGGTCTCCAGCCGTCTTCTAGATACAATTCTGCCATCTGTCACTTGAACAGGGAAAAGTGTTTAATGAGTCTTTAATGAAACTTTGTGATTGCAAATCCTTACCTTATTAGAGGTATGGTGTGTATTGATTCAGGTACCCTTGAGAAGTGCACTTCTACAGTCCATGCTCCTCTAGAGTAAGGATGTCCCTTTCAGGAGTGCACCATGGGACAAACGCTGGGCTGGGAGAACTCCATGCTGGCAGATGTTCTGCAACAGCTGTTTTGTGCCTGTTGATCTTGAGCAATGCAGCTCAGCACTGCAGTGATAGCACTGCACTGGGTTCTGGGGACAAGGACACCAGCCTGAGAGATGCTGCAACGTTTTGAGCCAAACTCAGTTTTAGTTTGGACTGCAGACTCTGCTGCTCTGTTGTCTATAGACTGTGGTGTGGTAGCCCAGGCATCCCAAGCTGCCAGGTTTTTAGCTCCACTCTCTTCCCATGGAGCCTATTTCACACACAGTTCCACCTCAACTGTTGAGTGCTATTCTATACCCTTCTGGTAACAGTGTGATCTTCAGAGTTTCATAGAGCATATAAAAACCTGAATCTCAGATGGATGTGAAAAAGTAGTATAACTTTCTTTTGAACATAAGTAAAATAGAAATAATAATTTGATGTTACTTTAAATTGTCGGTTAAGTGTGGCATCTGGCTAATGAGACTGTGCAGAATACGTTGCAGGAACGTGGAAGTTCAGGAGGTGATTAATCCGGAGAAGTCTAAACCAAGCAGAAGCTCTTCCCTATTTACTCAGTTGTAGACAAAACCCTCTCTTCACACAATTGTGTAGGAGCTCTTAGAAGTCTGAAAACATTATCACATTGCCATAAGAATTACTCCAACAGTCTCAAGCCTTTATTTCTGAGCCCGTGATGTTTTTATTCTCAGAAAAAGTCCTCATGCAAAGTGTTACACAGCTGTCATGCTAGCAGAGCTTGATGGAAATGACACAGTGAAGAGAACCCTCTAACACTGTTCAGCGGAGTTGATTTTAACACTGGAGTAGCAGCAAGAGTGCTTTTTGAAATAGTAATCTCATTTCAATTTTAAATGTATTATTGTATCTTGCTTGTGATAGTATCACTGCACTGTTGTAGTGTTACTGAGTGATCTGGAGAGAGCAGCTGGAAAGGTTTTCTGGGATGGGAGGTTGTGACTCTCACACCCTTCTGGCTATGTCCCAGTACTGTGCATGAGTAGAGGGGAAGTTGGGTGTGTTGTTACTCGGGGCTTTCTTACAGTACCCGTCCTTGGAATGGGCTGCCATGTGGAAATCGGCTTTGGGTGGACTGCTCTTCAGAAATTCTGTAAGTGCTAGTAGTCATTGGTTAAAAGTGACTGAACATGCATGAGTTTTGTTGGAAATTCCTCTTCATTTGCTGCTGTTAGTGCATTAGTGACGTATAATGGATTTTTGTTATTTTAGTTGAACAGTGGAATTTTGCTCTGTTTTTTTCTTTTTTCCACTAGATGGCCCAAGCATGCTTCCAAGTACCCCATGAAACTGAAACTTAATGCCTTTCTCTTTTAACTGAAGTTTAAATTCTACATTATGAGGCATATACCAGCCTGTATGATGCTTTGTGCTTGTTTAAAATACAAACACTTTATATGAGGCAAGAGAGTGTTGGTTAATGTAAAGAATATGTGGTAATGAAAGGTTATTATTTTCCTTGATTAGAATATTTGTTATCGAGTGTACTATAAAGCTATTTAGTTTTGCATTGAGAAGATAACTGGTGTGTTTCATTGACTGTGCTCCACAGTAATTCAGGGAGTTCAGGGGACTGAAAAGGTGTTGATCTGAAGTTTGTCCCTAACATCTCCTGGGAGTGAGACTGGTATTTTGCAGGTCACCATAATTTATTTTTTTGGGGGGGTGGCTTGACTTTTGCTGCACAGGGTTTTCGTAACAACTTTGCAGTTCATTTCAGTAGTGTATAGATGTGGGCAGAGGGTTCTGAATAGGCTGTTAAATGTACAGACTAATTTGCCTATTTTGGTTTAACAGACATCCAGTATAAGCTTGTTATTGTGACTGTCTTTTTGGTTAGTGGAGGAAGATGGGTGTACACTGAAGGCAGTGCTTCCGTGAGGGTGGTTGGACACTGGAATGAGGCTGAAAACATGGTAGGATGTTCATCCATCGACATTCAAAACTCAGCAGCATTGAGCCCTGCGCCAGCTCAGGCTGGGATATTGAACTAGGTGACCTTGAGAGGTCCCCTTCAGCCTTAATTATTCTGCAATTCCAAAATGAGATTTTCTTAGTTGCTTTGCTCTACTGCTGTTTAAACCAAAAATAAATATAAGGAAAATGGAGAGTTGTCTTTCTGAGCTAGTTGTCACCTCAGTATTTTGTATTAAGTTCCAGCTTTCCTTTGCTTTGGAGGGCCTTGATGTGGTGGTATTAGACCACCAGAAGAAGGATGTCTCTGAGCATACTTTTTCTCCTTAACCTGTAGTCCTCACTGGGGGAAAAAAAAAAGCCATATAAAGAGAGTACTCTATCCCTTCATTTCACTGCTGCACTTGCCAAGTGTCATCTCTTGCCTTATGTTCGGTATTGTTACTTCTAGTATTTCTCTTTAACAGATGTGACAGATACTCTCTTATTCCATTCCTTAGAATCTTTCCTAGATTTTCTCTTTTGCTCTTTTTCTTTATGGAAGAGAGACAGCAGTTGTCCCTTCTCTGCATCTGTGTTCCTTCCTTTTCCCATTGTCAGTATTTGTCCTGTCCTGCCACCTTCCTGCTTCTCTTCCCTTTTCCGGCTGGAGACAAATCAATGTGTTCACATCTACCAGAGGGATGGACATAAATGGAGCATTTTGGTGACAAGGATATTGCTGCCTGCAGTCAGTTCTGTAGACAGAGGTCATCTGCTCTAGTTCACGGCCCTACCAATAGGTGTTCAGTACTGCATTTGCAGTGTTTTGGTCTTCTTTCTAGTTTCTTCCAAAGTCAACAGCTTTCAGTTTATTGAGCAATGTGCCTGTTGAGCTAGGTACAGAGGGATTTCTAAAAATACTGTTTTTGTGATAGATTTGTATGTTTAATGGGATTTCTCTCCTGGATTGATCTACTCTTCACTTTGTGTAGGACATTGGCTGCATGGCCTCACAACTGCTGTTATTAGTAATACAGGCTTAACTTTGTTAGTGACTGGAAACTAAACTGATGAAAGCAATTCCATTTTTAGCATCCTGGTAGTAGAAAACATAGCTATAGGTATACTGAAATGTCAGTAGTAGTATATTTTGTTTAGTAGCATAAGTTATGGTTTAGTTCTAATTTTTTTTGCTGAACAAATTTAATAACAAATTTGAAATTGGATGAGTTTAAAAAGTTGTTCCTAGCAAATCTTTGCTGCAACAGAAACAGGTGTAATTAGCCTACATATATTACTGCAAGTATTATATGGAACCTTGGTGTAAAAGGCACATTATCCAAACGTGATGTGGAAGTTTTTCAGCTAGTATCTCAGTCATGTCTCAAAACTTTGCACTTCACATCTTTAGTAAGTGTAGACAGTTAAAGCAGGTAGTAATATTTGTTTTCAGCAAAGATTTACTGCATGAATCTGTTGTATATAGTACAATAATATGCTTGTTGTGTCATTTTGCATCTGGGGGTATGGAAATTATATTTTAGGGTGAACAAAAATAGTGATGGACAAGATGTCAGGTGTTGTGTTTCATATCTATTTCAGTGCATTTGCATAGTGGTACCTCTTAAATACATGTAGGCATTTTGGATAAGTGGATGTAGTGCTTTTGGGTACGTGACATAGCAGCCATGATATAGCACTGTTTGAAAGCTGGAGAAAGCTGCAGAAGGTTGCAGTATCAGGTGAGAGCTTTGAAACCACCTTCTGCTATAAGAAATGTGCATCCAGTTCAGTTTAAATTTTGTTTAACTTTATAGCTAGAGTGGTTACTTAAGTGGTTAATTAAGCATTGTAATACTGAAATCTTCACACCAGTATCAGTTCTGTTTGGCTGGCAGAAGTAATTCTAAAAGCAAACTGCTTACTGCAATCAATAAAGCTTGTTCTGGTTAAAATACCAACTCCAGTTTCTGAGCTCTTCAGAGTAGCTCAGAAATACTATTTAAAAAAAAAAAAAAGAAAGGCAACAAGTATGTATGTAAAGTAGTGTTAATGTTATTATTTTTTCTTTATATTCCTTTATGTTCTTCACTAGATGTCACTAGTAGATTTGGGAAAGAAACTTTTAGAAGCTGCACGAGCAGGTCAAGATGATGAAGTTCGCATTTTGATGGCAAATGGAGCACCTTTTACCACAGATTGGGTAATGAAAACTTTTGCAGTGGAGAATGTAAATCATCTTAATTTTCTCACGTGAAGAAAGAAATGCTTTTCTTACAATTTAGCATTTATATTACAGTTCTTCTTGGAATTCTGCATTCAGATTATCTAATGTCTAATTCAAAATTAAAATTGTCTGTTTCTTCGTATGACTTCCTACTGATTTTAGTAACAGACTGTGAATGAGCACATTCTGGTGACTTGAATGAAGTTTGGAATGGTTAATGGGAAAAAGTAGCAATCATCCTCCTAGTTACTGTGTTTATGCATTTAGTATAGTAAGAGGTCTGAATTATGAAAACAGTTCTAACTATCTAATACGTGCAGCTGAGAGTTCCCTGATACAGGGGTACTGCATTTTCTTTTGGAGGTGCTGATTTTTGAATAGGTTGTAGAGAGAGTTCAGGTACCCAAAATTCCTAGGGCATTTACAAGGTCTTAAGAGCCTTAATCTGCTTAGTGACCTAGCCTTCAAATTAACTCTGTTTTGAGCAGGAGACTGGACTTAATTGACTTCCAAAGGTCCCTGTTGACCAACCTAAAAATGAAGTTAGGCCTCTTGAAATGGCACATCAAAAAGACAGAAAAAACAGAGTAAAAAGAAAGCAAGAACAAATTTCCCTGTTCGTATTCTGTAAAGGCCCCAATAGCTTCTCTCCTTGAGACTGCTGGGGAAAATGGCTTTGAAGTGGTGGCTTGACACCTGGGTTTGGTGGCTTCAGAATAAGAAGAAGTGCTTTCTTTGTACTGCCATCTGTTAGACATGCGTGTTTTGTGTTCCATTACAGTTGGGAACATCTCCACTTCATCTAGCAGCACAGTATGGACACTACTCCACCACAGAAGTGTTGCTGCGGGCAGGTGTGAGTCGGGATGCCAGAACCAAAGTGGACAGAACTCCATTACATATGGCAGCATCAGAAGGCCATGCCAGCATAGTAGAAGTCTTACTTAAGGTAGGAACTGCTGGAACAAGTCTGAAGTGGGGTTATTGCAATGGTTTATGATCAGATATTTGCAATTTGCTTTTAGTCATGAAACCAACGTTGAAATAACATGAATAGTAGAACTGTATGCATTGGGAGCTTCATTGTCCAATTGAACTGTAATTTGTTTTACATTAAAATCACCATGATTTCAGGTGAATTATTTACTGCTGATTCAAAATAAGAATGCTCCCTAATTGGATGTTGTGTTTAGTAATAGATTTTAGAAGTAATATGTGCTTTAGAAAATCTGTAATCCTTTTGAAGTAAATCATGTATTTGGTAGATAGACTGGATTACTTTTAATAAATATGTAAATGTAAGATAACAGGGCATTCCTCATGGAGAAAGACAATTTTGGGCTTCATTCTTTGACCAGCATTATTTAATTAAGATATTTCTAATTATATAATTTAAGCAATGATCTTGTTTGTAGCATGGTGCTGATGTCAATGCGAAGGACATGCTTAAAATGACTGCACTTCACTGGGCTACTGAACATCACCACCAAGAAGTTGTAGAACTCTTGATAAAGTATGGAGCAGATGTTCATGCTCAGAGTAAATTTTGCAAAACGGCATTAGATATTGCAGTAGACAATGGAAATGAAGACATTGCAGAAATATTACAGGTAACTTTTAATTCCTCATGTTAAGGAACTTATAGCAAAGTACTTGATTACACGTCATAAACTAAGCTTTTACTGCAGCAGCTGTGACACCATGTATTGATAACGCCACTATCTAGTTCATTACATGAAATGAGTTTAATGTTAGTAAACGTTACTCGATCAAAAAACATTTTCACCACCTACATAGTCAGGTATAAGTATTCTTTATTTTCTTAAATTTAAGTGATGTCATACACAGAGGTAGGTGGACTCTTTGCAATTGAGTTGTAAAGAAATAGCTGCTTTCTCTGACAGTAAATTCTGATTATCCCCTAGTATTCAGTTAGCTTCATATATGGATATTAATTCCCTAGCAGTTGGAGTTCAGACAGGAGAGAAGAGATGCCAATTTTTCTAGAATTAGAAAAGCTAAGATTGAATTATTGGAGAATTGATTATAATAGATAATTTCATGGAAATGTGTGCTCACTGTTCGGTAGTTTTGTTAAAGGCAAATTAAGTGACAAGTATTACTTAGAAAAGAATGCAAAGCAAATGAAAAATATTACGCCACCATATAAATCTTTAGCCTTCCTATGTCTTTAAATGTCTGAACTGCTGGTGTGTTCCTTTAGCCTCCTCCTGATTGCAAAAGGTGTAGTAAACAGAAGTTAGTAATAATTCAAAGAAAGGCAAGAAGACTGCCATGTACATTTCATAGCAATTGCAAAGCTGTCAGAGTAGCTTTTCATAATGTGTATCTGCCCCAGCAGTCTTGGTTCTTTAGACTTCTCTTTTAGATAAGTGATCTTGCATATCTGCAAAAGAGCCTTGTCCTCTTATAATAGTTGGTAAGGAGAAGTAGTGGTGTGTTATTAAACTCTTTCACTCCAACAGACTTTCTGTCTTTAGATTTCAACAAAAAAAAGTTTCCTATGTACTTGGAGATAGGACACAATGTATGTGTATTGCATGAGTGTAATGAGGGAGATGTTTCTTGTTTGTGTGAAGCATGCAAGAATTCTAGCTCTTCTACAAAATCAACAACTCCTTTATACCTGCAGTGGGAATGATGTTGTTCTCTTTGTGTCCCAGATTGCAATGCAGAACCAAATCAACACGAATCCCGAGAGTCCAGACACTGTGACGATACACGCAGCCACACCGCAGTTCATCATTGGACCTGGAGGGGTGGTGAACCTAACAGGTCTGGTATCTTCTGCAAATACATCCAATAGAACAGGTATTTAGATGCTTAAAGGATGGCTATTGGGATTTTATATTTTCACTGATTTTCACCATTTAGTGAAAAGATTTGAGGAAAAACAGTGGTAAGAATAGTTACCATATTCCTCATCAGTGTTTTTTTTGTGTTGTAAATATCAACAACAACAATCTTCACAGATATAAACTATCAGAAATTCTATTTGCTTAACAAACTTCACTTCAGAATAGCACTTCAGTTCAGCAGAATGCTGCTGAAAATGGACTATGTACTAGAAGTTTCAGTGCAATAAAAATAGTAAAAGGGACTTTGATGGTTTTAAATTTATAAGCTATTTTTTTTCATCCTTCTAGATGAAACAGGAGTGTCTGCTGTACAGTTTGGAAATTCATCAACATCAGTATTAGCTACGTTGGCAGCTTTAGCAGAAGCATCAGCTCCATTGTCTAATTCTTCGGAAACACCAGGTTAGAAAGCTAAGTCATTTAAACTAATTTATTAAATTTGAAGTCCATAACTTCAGGTTTCCTTCAGCACATGAAGTAGTGTGGTAAATGATGATTCTATGGATATAGATACAGAAGGAGAGCAAGGAGGGAATAATGACCATATTTATGGGGCTATTTTTTCTTTTTTACAGAATAGCTTCTCTTTAGACAAAATCTTCTCTTTTCTTTCATGGTTTGAAGAAGTTCTAGCATCATTTCCTTCCAGAACTAAAACTCAGCACTTGAGTTTGACACTGAAAGATTAGAGCTGTTTGCCACAGCACCTAGTATTGGCACTTGCAATTTGGACTTCTTTGTGTCAGTGGTCTTTCTTACTGCTGGGCCTGTACTTGGAAGCCAAATCAAGTTCAATACAACACCACTTATTCGTGTGGGAGTTGCTGCTTTGGTTTCCTGAATAAACCTCTGTGAATATTTAAGCAGTGTTATAGGACAGTAATCTCTAAACATAAAGTTCTTCAGGAGACAATTTCTGCAGTCATTATTACAGAGTGATTTCTCTCTCTATGTTATATTGTAATTAACTTAAAAGATGAAAGCTTCAGAGTTTTATCTACCTTCTGTCATCTTGAACATCACAACACAGTCTATAGGGTTTTAGCTTCATCTCTGTAGATAGAGAGCATTTTAATATGTGTTATTTAAATCAAAGACTTTGCTTTTACCCTGGCAAATTGAAAATAAAATACAGAGCTAGTGTTCTTGAATTTCCTTGATTGTGCTACCAGTGATCTTGCTCTTTGTCTCAGCATCTTGTTGTTTTAAAAAAGGAAGGATGGTAGTGCAATACCCCATTTGCAGCATACAGTGCAAGCTGGGGTATGTGCTGTAATTCTGAATGCAGGCTTTCCTTGTGCTACCTTCATTTGTAGAAGTGATACAGAACTGTGAGAGTTCACTGCTTTGTACTCACTATGAATCATGAGTTTGAAATGGATAGTTGAGCTGGAATTTTTCACCTTCACATATAAAATTATATACATACAGGGTTTGTTTTACTTCTTAAGTTTTATCTATTTTCAAATGTGTAAAAATGTCAACTCTGCAGAACTTTTCCTTTAGTCTTATTTCATACTTTGTGTAAGAAAAAAAGTTGTTATGTTTGAAGTACTCATAGAGTTCAGACAAAACTTATAAGATTCTCTAGGGGTCCTCTAGTCTGTTACCATCTTGAAGACCATTATATAAAGTAGAGAAATCTGGGCTGAGTCTGAGGTACAGCAAGCCACTGGTTGAGAAGTAGCTTCAGGTTAAAATTTTTTAAATTCTACTATTAGTGTAACTTAGTCCAGCTTGTGTACAATGCAAAAGTTATTTGTGTTCTTAAAAGCAGCTCCTGTCCTTGCTGACCTGTTAACACTGAACCCAAAGCATCAATTTTGAGTGGGGTATATCAATATTATTATATTGAGCAAGGGTGGTGTTGCATGTGCATGTCAAAATGTGAGTGCTTTATGTTGGCCTGATGAAAGGCTATTTGGAATATAATACATAGTAAAGTATACAAGGGGGTCAAGTTTTGAAAGGCATGGAAGTCGTTTTTTCTCAGCCGTACCAAAATGCATTTGAAATCATAAAACCTTCATTTGTAAATTGACTTAATTGCTTTACTAATTTGTTGCTAGTTGTGGCCACAGAAGAAGTTGTGACTGCAGAATCCGTGGATGGGGCCATTCAGCAAGTGGTCAGTTCTGGAGGTCAGCAGGTCATTACCATAGTTACAGACGGCATTCAGCTGGGTAACCTGCATTCCATTCCAACCAGTGGGATAGGGCAGCCCATCATTGTGACCATGCCAGATGGGCAGCAAGGTGAGTGCACACTTCTATGATTCCAGCTTGAGGAACTGTTTTAGCTACGTTAATAGTAATGACTTTTTAGGTGCAAATAGCTTGGACCATTTTGTGTACCTCTATGAATTCTTTGATTAGAGAAGGCTCAGACACAAGCCTCTGCAGTTTGGTGGGTTAACACGTCAGCTGAGCCTCTGCTTTAGGAGAGAGAATAGAGGAGTTACTAAACTATGGAGGAGACATTGGACATTTAAGAGAAAAGGGATAACTACTTGCTTTGTCTTCAGTAAGTTTGATTTTTACAAACTCATAACAAAAACTAGAAGATGGAGTAAAACAAAAACCTTCTTCTAATCCTTACACTGTTGCCTTGCTGGAAGTATTGTGGGGAGGTGAGGCTTGGATTTAGAAATCTGATGCATGAAGCAATCTGTGTAAGTGAAATGGAATGTCAGTACACTGACACTGATCTGACAAATGTCAGGTCTTACATGCCTTTGGGCCATATGTGCTATGTAGAAGCTGCTAGTGTGATAAATCCTATTTTGCGATGAAAGCATACACTTTGAGTGGTTTTTTTTAAAGATGCTCTGCCACTATTTAGATAAAAATGATCCCTTCTCTGATTTCTTCATGAGGACTCCCACTATGAAGCTTGAAGAGCTGTACACAGGAGGCAAATTATTTGGTTCATAGTCTGCCTGAACTAGTACACCTTGTTATCATTATGAGGAGTGGGTGTAGATAGTAAGTGAGGTGACAGTCACGTTTATTTGTCAGATGGCTGCGTGAGGAATTAGAGTACTTTACTGAGAGCCCTGCTTTTCTTATTCATGGCTAATAACTACTGGATTTTAAAGATTACTTAAGGTGCATTAACCAAAACAAAAGCAAGGTTTGTATTTAGTATTTATTTAAGAAACATTATATAAATGGTCTGCTACAGAAGTTGGAGTTGACAGACTGGTGGCTCTGCTGCATTTCTCTGCCATGTCTGTTTACTCCGAGAAAAATGGCAGTGATATTCCAGAGCTAATTACTGTAGACCTCAATAGTGAGGAATTTTAAAGTTCTTTAGTAGCATACAAAAACACCTGAAGTTTTTTAGTAGATTTTTCACGGAGCTTATTGTGCACTTTATTATATAGATGTGTTTCCATATGCAAAAGTATCTGCATCTTTTACTGCTAATAAAATTACTTAAATAATACAAGTTTTATATGGTGCAAATATTATTCGAAGTAAATGTATTTACATGTACAAATATGTTTTCAGTGTTAACAGTTCCAGCAACAGACATTGCTGAAGAAACTGTAATAAGTGAAGAACCGCCAGTGAAGAGACAGTGCATTGAGATTGTTGAAAATCGTGTGGAGTCTGCAGAAATAGAAGTAAGGAGTATGTTACATGATCTGTGTTGAACAATGTTGAGGACTGAGTATCTGGTTATGGTTTTTGTATTGTTCAGAAGGTTAATTCCTGTGTTACCACAGAATGAAGTGTGTGAAAGATTTAACTTGTTCGGTCTCTCCTGTAGCTGAAATTCATCTTTTACAAAATTGTTGTAAAAAGAAAATAGGAGGGCTGTTTTCTTGATCCTGTGGTCATGCATGTAAAAATGACACTTGTTTAAGTATATGAAAACTTTTTTTTTTCCTTGAAGATCACTAGCTGGTTTTTAAAACTGATACGTTATCAAGTGACTTAACTCTTTCCGCTAGGAGTGAATGGGAGCACTGTGCCCTCATCTTTCTGTTACAGCCACATGCTTCTGATTGTGAGATCAATTTTAGCAATGTTTCCTTTCCATTCATGGTATCTAGATAACTGTTAATGGAAGTGTGAAACAGTAAGATTCTGGTTTTTTAAATTTTTATCTGTGTGGTGTCCCCCGCCTTTTTTTTTTTTTTTAAATTCCAAAGCAGTTTATTATTACACAACTTTGCACCTTCTGGGTTTTTTAAAACTATACTGCAAAAGACCTAAAAATGCTGAGAGCGCTTTCCTTTTTATATGACAATTGGATGTAGCTGTTCAGTTTAAAATTGTAGCTTTTTTTATACTAGCCACAAAAGGTCAACCATCTCATTCCTTTTCCTGTTACTTCTACCTGTGCTGACCAGTTTTGGTCAAAAGTTTATGAAAATTGCTGTCTGCTTTGACTAGACTGTAAGTTCTCATTTTGTCAACTCCATGATATTTCATTTATCAAAGGTTGTATTCTTCAACTTCTGTTCATATTATCAAATTGTGCCTCGTTGAATACTTTTTGTTGTACAGTATGTGCTGTATGTTACCCATGTCTAATAACAATAATTACCACCTCTCATCATTTGCTTTCCATGTCCCCAAGTTGTTGCATCAAATACTTTTGGCCGTTGCAGCTTTGTGGTCATTACAGATTATCCTGACAGTTGAAATTTTCTTGCTGCATTTTTTAAGATGTATGACTGTTGCAATAAAAGTATTTCTTTTGTTCACACTTTTAAAAATCTGCCTGAATTATTCATAAAGGAAAATATATTTCCTTAAGTATTTTAGTAATTCTGTTAAATGAATTTTTTTAAAATCCAGATTGATTAAGGGATAAATTGACCTGTTCCTAATTACAGATAATTGGTATAACAATACCAATAAATCTTCTAAGGGGATTACCAGTTTTGTTTATGTATGTTAATCATTTTTCATAAATACTGAAAGAAGTTGGTTTTGATGAGTCACTTGGTCTCTTACTTTTAATTGGAAGTTTTGATGACTTTCTTGTCCCTGCCTGTACAACTAGAAATGCACATGCAGACCTCTGCCTCTGTGTGAAGGCCGGTTGACTTTAGGGGTCTTCTTGTGGTTCACAGGGCTATGGTGCTACCTTACTTTAGTAGTAGTGGCATTAAAGAAGTGCACATAAAGTTGGTTCACTTTAAATTTCTTTGTCACAGACAGTGGTAGATATTTAAATTTGGAGAGAGTGGGACCCCTCCCGTCATTAAAGTATTAAAAAAATATTTTAAATAAATACAAAATATTTATACAGGAAACATTTATTGTTTTTCTTTGCCTTGCACTAATTAATTCCTTTATTTTATTATAAAGAGTTGATTCAGGGCTGAATGCTTTTTTCAGCTGTTTTAACTTCTTAGTGTGTGGACAGTTTATTGTAGTTTGAAAGGTTTTGTAGTTAAAAATCCTCCCATCAATGTGAGGTGACAAACTTTCCTGTGAAAGTACTGTGGAACAGCTAAAGCTGTAGTGGTGTTTTTAAATCTTCTCTTCTGGGTCTGGTTAAAACATTTCAGCTCATTTTGAAGAGTGACAGCAGTTTTCCTAAGCAATTTGATATTTTAAACATGGGATGGCAGCAAAAAAAACCTGTCACACAGATACTCTGTTTTTCATTTTCATGCATAATTCATTAACATATAGTGATCTTTATTTTCATTCTTTAATTTGACTGTTTCTCCTGTGTTGCATGTTTGAAAGGTGACACGCATTAGAACCAAGACAATCATTTGATTAGACTAAAAAATAATCATCATTGTAAACTAATTATATTAATGGATTCATATCCTGTGTCATTGTGTTGTTTAAGAGTGGTTGGTTATTTTAGTTATAGATATTCCTATTGTCAATGGAAAATTACGTGTAATGAAGAAAATTCTCTGGTAAAATTGGAAGATTTCTTGAGAGCACTGAGCACCCTCTAATTTGGTTTTTATCTGGGTAGGTGATACAAAAGGACTCCAGATCTCTTGAACACTTCTGGTTGTGTTCTGAAGAATGTCCCAAGAGCACTTTCTGGGTTTGATTAAATTGGTAGATGAGATACAGTCCTCCCTATTTTAGATGTCAAAGAGCCAGTTTTGACCATTGAGTCCACAGTAGATATGTGTTGCTCTTCCAGAAGCATTGGGTTTTTTCCACTGCCTAGTCACACAGAGTAGTTGGTTTCATCTCCTTAACTCCTTCTGTTTTTTGGGACTGTGGCAGTCTAAAAACGATGCCTGTTAGCTGCTGGACTAATCTACGTGCTTTGAATTGCTAGCTTGTCTGGTAGCTACTGGTTTTATCTTCTGGCCATGTCTTGGAGACTTGGGTTTTTTCCTTTTTTTCTTACCCTTTCCTTAAAGTGTTGTACTACTTTTGGGTATGCAGCTCTAGTTCTGTCTTCTGTGGGAAATACTCTAAAAATGTTGTTCAAGAGCCTCCCCACGTCCAAATGTTTGCAGTGTGTGCACACTCCACAGCAGTGATTCCATCCCCAAATGTTTGCACACATTCCATAGCAGGGATAGTCCCTTGCTGTTTGTAATGCACCACAGGTCTTCCTGCCAGTGAACTACCAATGGTTCTTATTTCTATGCAGGCCAGTAGATAGAGCAGCTTTGCTTCTTGACAAGTATTAGGTTTTTGATGGTTCATATGAGACCAATTCATGGGATAGATAATGCCCAGCTCGGTATATCCCAGTCTCAAAAAGGAAAGGCTATTTTCCACATGTGGAAGGATCAACTGTTTTGACTAATTCCATGGGAATTGTCTTGTAGCTCACCAAGGCTTTAATCCATGAGGCTGTTTTACATAAGGTATTGCAGAGATAGCTTTTGGAAATAGCAGTATGTTTGGGCTGGGCTGGTGCTGGAGGATCCTTGGTATGTTTCAGATTCTCTGAGGTGTAGGCTCTGCTGTTCCTGTGGCATGTCAGGATAGTTGCTGCATGAGCTGACCGTCCATAAAGTTGCCTTAAAAGCAGAATCCAGATTTTCAGAGGTGGAAGCCGAACTTCCTTTTCAAATAAGTAAGCAAAATCAGATGAGCTCTCATTTTATTAGCATATGCTCCAAATGGAGCAAGCCCTAGCCTGCTGCATTCAGCTCTTAAAGCCCCTTGGATAATCAAGTTGCACTTACTGAAGTTTGTTCTGTGCTCTAGCTGGTCTCTTAATAACCTGTTAATAACATCTCCTTCACTTGTTATTTTTGCTGTTCAGGTGCTGCTTTTAGCAATGATCTGACCACCTCTGTCATTGTGTTTCAGCACATTCAGCTGACATGTGACTGCTCAATGTGACTGTGACAAGTACTGAGAGCAGTAGCAAGTAGAAGGGAGGCAGAGTGGTTTTGTATTTTTCTGACCATGAAAATATGTGAGTGCATCAGAGGTGAAGAATAGGGATGCTCTTATGGGAGTGTGCAGGGCTGAAACTTCTGACAACTGTTAGAGGTATTAAATGAGAATGTGATACTGAACTGCTGAGATGGGAATATGGGGAAAAGACAACTTGCTTTCACTGGACTTCAGTTTTTTGATAAGTTGTTTTTCTGAGAGATGGCTTGCTTCTCTGGCAGCCTTCCTTACTGTTCCTACTTAACAACTACAGTTGAAAGAATGATTTTAAATGCGATACTACCTTACTCATAAAAGTATGATGCACTTCAATGAAAATGGTATTTGATTGAATATTTGATCAAAACAAAACTATTTCCCAAGCAAATTGCTTTTTCAATTGGGCTCAGAGTAACATCAGACAAAATGACAGTACCTGCATCACTGGAGATGGAAATGTGTTCTCCTTAGTTCCTAAGGCAGCTTCAGAGGAAGTGGCATTTCCTATGTCATTTTGCTTGGAAACCATTTTATATCCACCCCCAGCAATCTTTGTGTGCAGGATTTCTGCAGTTACTTAAGGATTTCTTTACTAGCTGCTTTTAAAATGAAAAAAAGCTTATCTGGCTAATTGCCTGTTAATTCACAAAGATATGGTGTCCTTGGGGATGTAATTGGACCTCTGGATTGCAGTCTATCAATCCCTGTTTAGAAACAGTTAGGTTTATGCTTTGGTCAGTGGGCAGCTGACATTCCCCAGTGCAGATGGCTGATAGGTAACAGTTTGTCATTTTTACTGTCTGATTAGAAATACAACAGCAAGGAACAAGTCTGTTAGATTGAAAGATTGGAGAAATGTAAATATATTCTGTTAGTATTTAATCACCATGCTTCCACTTTTTTCATTTAGCTCTTTTTTGGTGAAGACATGTGTGGTGCCTTTGCAGCTCAGTAGACTCAGGTTTGCTGTCTCCACACTTCCAGCCCTGTGTGGGGAGTTGGCTGGTTCATAATTGGGGTCTAATTTGCACAGCTGCATTCATACAGGTTTGCCTGAGTAAGAACTGAACAGCTTCTCCATGCTACCCTAACACTTGAACTGCATGTAAAGGAAAAGTATTTACCATTTTAGCTTGTATTTGATACTTGTTTGACAAAATATTGCTGGTTCTGTTTCTACTAGGAAAGAGAAACTCTTCAGAAACAGCTGGATGAGGCAAACAGAGAAGCACAAAAATATCGTCAGCAGCTTCTAAAGAAGGAGCAAGAAGCAGAGGCCTATCGGCAGAAGTTAGAGGCAATGAACCGCCTCCAGACTAATAAAGAAGCTGTTTAATAAAAAATGAACACACTGCAAAGCCTGTTACTTTCAAAAACCTGCAGTACAATCTTGAACTGTACACTATATAGGTACAGCCATGGGATTTCATGATAGAGAAGATGCTACAAGTTGATAACTGGACTTAAGCCGTGAGCTCTGATTAATTTCTTGTAACATAAAAACTCTGAATTTAGAAATTGTGAAAAGTATTTAAAATGAAATACTGTAAATAGTTGGTTTTTTTACAGTTTCAAAATGAGTTGATAAATCTTTTTGAAGGGATCCAGAAACATGAAAAGCCAATGTTTTTGTGAAATTTTTGATTTTAGTATGAATCTAACTTCTGAAAAACAGAACAGTTTTAAGGGTGATGTTGATTTAAGCTGATAATTTGAAATTTGATTATGTGACAAAATTAATTAACAGTTATTTCTACATGATAACAGCTCAACTTCTCTGAATAAGACATTTCCAGGTGGAAATCTTTGTACAGCTTTAAGTAGTTGTCTCAGATTCTCTGAAAACCATTTTTGGTTCTTTTTTTTATTTTAGGTGGTGAAATTTTTATATTTAATTTCAGATATATCCAAGTAGATTTACATGTATATGAAGCTAATATTTTTTAAACTTTTCAGTTTGTACATATGCTGCATGTTTTTATAATTTCTACACATACATCTTGCATAGGTATTTTTCAGCAAAGATGAGAAAAATTATGAGAAAAATGTTTAGCCTATAGGTCATTTGAAGTAAGCTAGCAGCCAGTTTTATTGTGGATGGTATATTTCTTGGAAGAATGTAATTTGTAATTAAGAAGAACAAAAAAGTATCTTAATTTACATATTAAGAGGCAAAATTTGGTAGTGGAGGCATTGAAACTTCACTTTGTGTGTCTTACAATTTTCCTGTACAAACATTTTAAAGTTCAGTAATGACTAGAAAAGAATGTCTCCACTGGAACACAAACAGTAGCTATCTTAGAATGTCCCTATTGGTCTCTCTTCCCCAATAGCCTTGAAATTACTTCAGTGATGCATTTTTTTAACGGACTTTTGCATTTTAATTACGCAATTGGACAGGTAATTTTTTATGTTGTTGTGATGCTCTTCCTACCCAGCATCATCGTTGCTCACTGTGATACTGTGTTTGTGTGTGTCTGTGCAGTGATCTATTATGCTTAAAATTTATATGGCACGTTACATCTCCAGAGCATTGTAAAATCTTTTAAAGAACCCTTACTGCACTGCCTGTGGCAGGTAAGTGAGTGTTACTGTCTCAGTTTTAGAACTGGTTTAAGTGCAACACGAGGGAGTGTGAAATGACTGGCTTAACACCGTGTGAACCTGTGGTCACCTGGGAATGGATCTCAGGAGTTCCTGGCTTCTAGTCCTGTGCTTAGACTGAGCTGCCTTAAGATTGTTCAGTGCTGTGTTACATTAAATTTTGAACTACTGTGCAGATCCGTTTTCTGTAAGATAAAACTTTGTGCTTTGCTTTGTTGTTCCATGTTCACTGCTTTTATGGAATTGTTTATATAAAGTTAAGCAAAAGGTCTGGTTTATCTATACTGTACACGGAAGAATTACCCTTAAAACTGTACTCTGGCCTACTTTTTCTATTTTACAATTAAATATCTTTTCCACATATATCTAGTGTAGAATCAATTCAATTGGTTTGTGTGTGAATGAGAAGGTCAAAGCTGTTCTATGTTAGGCATCTGGAAAAACATGAAAAAACAGTTTTGGGTATAGAATAGCCTTAAATGGTAGGAGGGAGGAATGGGGAAAGAATTGCATTGTACTGTACAAAACTTTGTCAAACCGGTCAAAATTTAACTTGGCTTTATAGATTTGGCAGTTAGGAAAAATTCTGAATATCTTAGTATTATATGTTCGGTAAATTTGATTTTGATTGTCAAATTTGATTTAAAAATAATCAAAACATAAAAATTGGAAATCTATGGTGGTGGGTTCTAGAAGAGTTATTTTCAAGGACATTGTCATGCTAGTACTAGGCCTTGAAGCAAACCTTGTGCAGTGGTTAACTGGAAATTGCCCTATTTTAGGGATTTTTTCAGGAACTATCCATTACGTCACTAGCAAACTGAGGAACCAGTTAGCCAAGGGAAATGTGCTGCTTAGGCATTGCTCCAATGAATTATTTTGTGATCAAAATAATGTTTGTGTCCTCACATCCCACAAATTTAACAACAGTGTAATCTCTGTGATTTCTTAATAATGATAAGAGTGGCAGTGTATGAGTGGTGATAGTGGCAACGCTCACATCCAAGTGGAGAGTTTCCCACGGTTGAGACAGCAGATGTTGGCAGCAGACAATGAAATGAACCTTTTCTATTCATTCTGTTTCCTGTGAGCAAATATTCTATTCCTCATTGTCCATAACAAAACCCTTCTGAGTGCAGCATAGCTATAACAAAACCTTATTTATCACCAGCAATATTTACCCTACCTGTAATCCACTATCAGCTATTTTATTTTAGTTCCGAACAGGACCTGCTGTTTGTTCTCTTCTGCACAGAACAAGAGATCAACCCAATGAAACCGTCACCTTTGAGCTAGTGTAGGGTATATGTTACATGAAATATTTATTATATAGTTTAGCTCTGAAAATATTGTTAAAAATATTGTTCCTTATTTGCTGTTCCAAATTAAAAACGTAACCGTAGCTAGCTACCATCTGTTTCTTTGAACAGATGTCCATATATGTTAGCAAATTAATCACTTGTAAAGAGGTAGAATCAGAGTTTTTGAGAACTTTAGGCTCCTTTTGAGTTAGTCCTGTGCTTGATGCCTGTCTCTTCTCAGCTTGTTCCCCTTCATGGGATCATTTACAGTATAGCCAAGAGATGTTAATAAATTAATATTAAACATGTGAGCAGCTTGTTACTTTTTTCCTAATGTTTCCAGAGCAATAGGAGATGAAACAGATGAATATGTATAGGTTTTTGCACTTCTCTCAATGCCTTTTTATCAATTTGGGTTTATTTATTTCAGTACATTACTCTGATATGTGTGTCAGAGCATCTTTCTCATATGTATAAAACAATTCCTTCTCAAGTATCTAATTGCAGCAGAAACTAGGAAAAGTTTCACACTGTTCTGTAGACAGTGTGCTCTGAGAACAATGTGAAAACTTTCTAGATCTCTGTAAGGGGTTGTGCTACATTAGAGTACCTGAGGTAGACAATCAAAGCTGCTCTGGCAGCAGTACTCTCCTGTGAAGAGAACAACAAAACTGCTGTCAGGAATCAGACACAGGGTCTGCCTAGCCTGGCATCCTGTCTCCAGCAGGGCCAGCCCCAAGCAGGAGCCTAGGGTATGGCAAAAATAGGCAAGAATATTTTGTATGGGAAATAATTTCTCTTTCTAGTGCTTAGTTCTCAAGTCCTACCTCTCTTCCCAGGGCTGCCTGGTACAGTGTAGAGCAAGTGAAGATGGATAAGGATTCATCATTGCTGTCAGAGAGAGGTCAGGATGTGTCTTCAGGTCCTAAAACTGGAACAAGAGGCAAACTATAAGGCTCTTCTTTCAAACTGAGAACAATCCAGGTAGAGGACTTGGAGGAGTTCTGGAGACACGACTGAATCCCAGTGCTTATGCATATACTACGGGAGAAAAGAAAGCACAGTGAGGGAAAAGGTGCATTTTCCCAGCTCAGTGATCTAGGGTGATATCCATGGAGGAATATCACCCTGCCTAGTGTAACCTGCTCTGATCTGAAGGGCAGGAAATCCACAAAGAGGATCGTTGCTGCTTCACATTATAGTTCTGGAACTTGCAGTAACTGTGAAGCCTTTCCTCCTAGCAGCATGGGACTGAGAGCATAAGGACTGAAGACTTGTGAGGATGTAGGTATACTATTTTTTTGGGGAAAAAAAAATATTCTCAAAACAATTCTTAGGAAAAGTCCCTGTCTCCCATGTCAAATTTATTCTGTGTTGGTACCTTGTTTTAATGGCTACTGCTAGCCCAGTAGCTGGGTGTGCTGGCATAACATCTGCTAGCTTTTATTTGGTTTTGAAAGCTCTTGAGCTTTCTCTCCTGCAAGTCTCATGTTAATGTGCCTTATATTCATGGCATGGATTACTGTGAGACTTCTGAAAGATCAAAAATGGGAAAGTGCAGAGGCAGCTCCTCTTAGTGATACACTATCTTACACATCAAAAGAGCACAGATGAGAACATGAGAGATTGTAAAAACCCTCCGTTGGGAGGAGTTAGATAAACACTCACCAATAACCTGCCTGTTAAACCTTTTCCAGAATGTGTGAGTCTGAGAGATAAAGGGAGCTATAAAGGGGGAAGCAGCTGGGAGGGCTCCAGACCAAACTGACCACGGCTCCCAAAAGGTTGTGGCCCAGGTTTGAAGAGGTTCATTCCTAAGGAATCAGCATGGAGCCTGAGGAGTACAGACAGAGAGGTGAGTGATCCGTGGCTCTTGCAAATAAGTAATATTTGCTTGTGGAAATCAACTGTTGTAGGGCTGTGAGTGATACCCAAAATTAGGATGGGCTATATACTCTTTATTTGTGCACTTGTCCTTGAGACTTGGATCTGCTGAGGCTGAGGTAAAAACGTGTCCCAGGGTTGAGTTTAAATCAATGAATTTAGAGTCTGTTGGTTACTTAACCTTTTTGGTCTTACATCTAAGATGCTGTAGGAACGCTGCAAAACTGTAATTCTGAATAAACCTGTGCTAAGGGGTTATGCACAGTAGCTCTTCACTGGCTGAAACCCTGAGACTGCAGTGGTACTTTGATAGTTCTGGAGATGGAGAGCTAACTTTGGTTCCAGGGCTGCAGGAGATTGCCTTAAAATTGGAGAAAAGGTGTGGAGCTATGCAGCTGATTTCACAGGATGCAAAAGGGGGTTAACTATAATGACAAGGAGGTGTAGGACATTATGAAAATTTAATTCCTGTGAAATGAAGTTTCAGTTAATTTGTAGGCAAGAAAATCTAACCTTTCAGTGACCAAACAAACTGTACTTGTACCATGATTGTGTTTTAAAGGTACATGTGAACTATTCAATGATGACACTGAAAAAACCCTGTGAGCCTGTGTTAGAACATTATTAGATGGGACAAGTAGGGTGTAGGAGGGAGGACGTGGGAGCAGTATTCCAATGCTGTTGGAATCTCTGTCCAGTGCTAAGGACAGACAGTGTGGAGTGCTGGTACTGCTAGTTAGTGTTTCCATAACTGAAACTAAAAACACTGGTTTGCCTCTTCCAGGGAAAGAGATGGTGGATTACATTTGCCAGTACCTGAGCAATGTGAGAGAGAGACGGGTGACTCCTGATGTACAGCCAGGTTACATGAGAGCCCAGCTGCCAGACTCTGCCCCAATGGATCCAGACAGCTGGGACAACATCTTTGGAGATATAGAGAAGATTATTATGCCAGGGGTAAGAAATAAAGTATAATCATGACAGGAAGAAGCCATTACTACCTGGGGTGAACTCTAAATTCTGGGAATGCACAGGATCTGCAGGACATTGTTCTAAAGTAAAGTACCCCAAAATGTAGCATAAATCTTGTAGCTGTTATGTCCACAGTTGTGTTCCTAACTATAATTTTAGGGGTTAGATTGTGACTGTATTTTTTAACTACTGTGTATATAACCCGTATTTGCTTATAGGGAAACAAATTCTCCACTAAGAGAAAATCATTAGCTTCACAATGTCTCTACCTGCTGAACCATATAATCTTAATTTCAGAGATGTGGAAACTCGGCACAGCAAGGTGAAACAACTCTTGCCCAATTTCATTTACATATAAGTCTTGTCTCCTTCACTTTGAATGTAAAAGTCTACTTCCTCTTGTACATAAATGCTGCAGATTCTGCTAAGGGAATTCATATTTCCAAACTGCATGTTTTATCTAAGAAGCTTTTTCAAAGTCAGATTTTTAATAGATGTTTGCAGAAACTTGATCTGATGGAGGAGAGGCAATCAGATTACATGTACTTATGCTGGTGTCCCACACACAAGCTCCTTCAGGTGTTTAGAAGGCTTTATATAATTGTAAATTGCTGTGTGTAGCTAAAGGCAAGTTGTTTAACAAAATGAGCAACTTTGTTCCAAGGGTTCCCTTTATAAAGATAAATATTTTGATAAATCTTTCTCTGGTCTTTCAAACATAGCACAACATTCTTTCCTGTTCAGAATGCCTGTTTAATTCAGATAAATGCTTCTGCTGTTTTTTGCAATTTATCTGTTAATGATGCAGTGTTATCATCTACTAGTGCTGCTCCCCTGTTGATATTATCTCTGCAGCTCTCTGATATATCATCTGCAGCTAGCAGATGTATAGTTGCACGTTATATTGCTGTAATCCTTTTCTTTCACTTTAAACTAATCACTACATCTCATGCAAAGTTTTGTGACATTTTCAGACTTAACTTCTATATAATTCTGTTCTAGGTAGTCCATTGGCAAAGTCCACACATGCATGCCTACTTTCCAGCTCTAACATCCTGGCCTTCACTCCTTGGAGACATGTTGGCTGATGCAATTAACTGCTTGGGATTCACATGGGTAAATTTTTGGGGCCATTTTAGACATTCCTCTCCTCTGTGTGTAATATGCAAGAGCAGGTCATAGTAATTCTTTCTTGTTCTCTGAGTCAGTATAGTTGTTTTAACCAAATGTATGTTGTTGCATAAATGAAAATTGTCACTTAAAAATATCAATCCAAAAAAACATATAACAAGCATTACCTAGAAGAGGTGAATGAAGAAAATATACTAGAAATGTCTGTTTTCAAATTCTTTGCATATCCCGCTGTGAGCATTGTTCCTTGTCATCTAGTCTCAATGCCAAGACTGTTATACAAGCAGTGTAAGCAGTAGAACAGCCACCATCCATGACTGCAGGCTAGATTTGGCTCCATTCCAGTTCTCCTGCTCCTTTGAGAGAACACACTTCCTATTTTTCCTCTTTTGAAAATAACTGTTTGGTGGTTTGGGCCAGAATATCTGCGTATTTTGTATCCTCCTACTGCAGCTACAGAACACTACTTGCTTATGACTCTGCACACTGCAGTAGTTTCTGAAGCCTGTGTTTTCCTCAGTTCCAAAGTTGCCCAGATTTTTAGGTGTGTTTTTCTGTCTAAGAAAGTAGAAGCTCATAAACCTCTAATAAATTGATGGGTGTGGTCTCCGTGTAGCTGTATCAGGTTAGCTTGTTGCCTCTTTCAGCTTTCAGTTGGACAAGGGATCAGTGCCTAGAGTGATTTAAAACCTGATTCTCCTTTAAAATTTTTTTCTAGGCCTCCAGCCCAGCCTGTACAGAACTGGAAATGAACGTGATGGATTGGTTGGCTAAAATGCTGGGCCTTCCAGATAAATTCCTGCACTACCATCCTGACAGTGTGGGTGGAGGAGTATTACAGGTAGGGGAGACTAGAGATGGCCTCATCAACGTTTTGTTTTCAAGTGAATTTCTCTCTGGGTGATAGCTTTCCTAGAGACAAAACCAACAACATCTTCTATACGGGTCTGAATCCCAATTTGGCATTATTTTCCCAAATTTTAGCATTAAGTGTGGAAGATTATAGAATAGAAACTGCTATTGCTTTTAGTGCTGTGTTATGGACAAACAGCATGCATTCATGTGGTCTTTTTATGGATAAACGAGTCAGATTTCATTTCTTCAATGTTTCACATCACCAAATTTTGCACTAGAGTGATTCTTATATAATAAGAGAAGGAATCCTTGTCACTAACCTTCTGCCACAGTCCTTAGCCATACGAGAAGTTATTTTTTGTTTTTCTCATGTCTTCTTGTCTCTGAGAGGTGCAGGATCAAGGCCTGAACTGTTACCTCCTTCTGGAAGGCATAAGCCTTTGTATGTTCAACCTGGAATCAGTGCTGCGTCTTTGTTATTACAAGGGCCTTTGATCATGTTCGTAATTTTATGGGAAATACTATGTTTTATCTGTAGAACAAAAGGAAAATGTGGTTTATTTACTCCCTAGAACTCAGTGCTGCATGTCAAAATATACAGCAGTTAAAAGGCTTTGTTTTGTGTTGCTGGCCCAGAGAGCTGCTCATCAGCTAATGACTCTCCACTGCTCAGAGAAAAGCAGGAGTAGGAATAAAAGAGGGGGTGGGCAGCTGGGCACTTCACTGATTTCAGCAGATCCCTGGCAAAATAGCAGTGAAGTAGCAGTTGCAGTAAATGAGCAATGTCTTTGCAGAGCACTGTGAGTGAATCAACCTTGGTTGCATTGCTGGCAGCAAGGAAGAACAAAATTCTGGAGATGAAGGTTTCTGAACCAGACACTGATGAGTCCTCGCTCAATTCTCGCCTCATCGCTTACGCATCTGATCAAGTAGGTGCTTGTGAGTCCAAGGAAAACAAATTGCTCCTGTTGTCTCACTCAGCCTTTGCCACGTGAAATTGCATTTCTGTACAACAATACAGGAATGCCTCACAAGCATGGACCAGTTCCCCAACTGCTGCTTTCTGCAGATGGGGAAATTAACCATGTGAGGCGAGGTTTTTAGGGTCTTGGCAGTCCTCAAGAGATTGTTTCACATGACTGATTTCTGCACTTCCTTCCTGTTTTTCACAAAGCTTTACTCCAGGAACTAGTGCTGATCTCATGCTGCTTCATCTTGTGTTTCTTCCCAGCCTCCTTCCCCTCAGAGACAAGCATGCTCAAGGCATTGTTACCTAAATGCTGTTCCTGGCTGTGGGCTCCACCGTTGGTTTTTGTCAGCAAACTTGTTCTGTCCTCGGCCTCCTGAACTGAGCAATTGTATTCCCCTCGGAAAAATGCCACAGAACAGACATTCATGCTCATTCTCTCTTAGTATAACAAAAAGGACTTACCTTGTAAGGTGTTTTGCTCTATCCAGAAGTAAACACACTTCAGGGGATGTATCTTCATATGTCAGGGAGGAGGGAATAAACTGAGGTTGATTAATTTCTAGAGGCTCTTTTAAGAGCTGAGTTTTGATAAATGTCCCTCCAAACACAAGATGATGAGGATTCCTATTATTATATTTTAAAAACCAGCACCCAAGTAAATGAAGCATTCTTTGGAATTACAGTGTACTATTTCTTATAGTTACTCACAAAGAAGATGCTTTCAGACTTGTATGAATATGGATTACAATAAGATCATTATGTCATTTCTTGCCACCACTGTCTTTCATAAAGCCATAACTTACCACAGCTGTTCAGCCTCAGAGCTTGAGTTCTTACTGTTTTTCTTATTTTAAAGGCACATTCCTCTGTAGAAAAGGCTGGCTTGATTTCTCTTGTGAAGATAAAATTTCTGCCTGTGGATGAGAACTTTTCCCTCAGAGGTGAAACTTTGAAGAAAGCCATTGCAGAAGACAGAAAGAAAGGCCTAGTGCCAGTCTTTGTATGTTCAACTTTCTGGTTGGGGGTATTGACATAGTGTTATATCCTTAATGTCAACATGAAATTACATATAAAAATTTTTTTGTTGTGTTAAAATACATTAGCTGAAGGTTCAAATGTATACAAGAATTTCTATTTTATTAAATAAAAAAATTTAATGTTTTGACTGCAATAGACTGCTCACTTCTAAAAGACACCAAATCCATTATAACAGGTTTGGTTTTTTCTAGGTTTGTGCAACTTTGGGTACAACTGGTGTCTGTGCTTTTGACAATCTCTCAGAACTGGGTCCAGTTTGTAAGTGTATTTTTTTTCCTGATTTTGATCTATTAAAGTACCTAGAAGATACACAGACTTTTTCATGCCAAAACCAAGGAGAGCTGAGTTTTTCAGACATGTCTCAGAGATGGCTGAAGTCACTACAAGATTGTGGTGATTTCTGTAAGACTTAGATTAGGATGCTAAAATGCATTCTATTTGAGATGGATGAAATTTGCCAATTGATAAATCTTTAATGTGGTTATTCAGGAAATACAGACTGTGGTACTGTTGTAGGATGGATACATTAATATTTAATCTAGTAAAGGAGTTTTGAAGGTAGATTCTGGTAGGACATCCTCTTGATCAACCAATTTCTTAGGTAAATTTGACATGGTTGCAAATTCTATTCCAGCATAAATTCTGACCAGTAGCTGCTGAAGACCTGAGGAGCTTTCTGCAATGGGTCAGATTGTGGCTTCTGTTTCTGGGTCCTTTTTTGCTTGCCACTATGTCTTTATTTTGGCTTTGTGCAACTGAGGGGTACTGCAGAATTTCACTTAGTGAAAGGGCAGGTGAGAGAAATCAAATGTTAAAAAGACTCATTCGTATGAAATATAGAACAGTGAATGTTGTTACAAAGTCCACCTGGTTTCAGCATTTTCCAATGCTTTGGCATTATTGATCCACACCTTTAGAAGAAAACCAGGTTGTCAATCGCTCTCCTGCCTCCTCCAAAGCACTGCACCTGGTTTGCAGAAAGGAGAGATTAGCATGCACTTTGATTCCCTATATCCCTTACATAACAACAATCTCAATTCCAACAGGTGATGCTGAGGGACTCTGGCTTCATATTGATGCTGCATATGCAGGAACAGCATTTGTGTGTCCTGAATTTCGATTGTTTCTGGATGGAATTGAATATGCAGATTCCTTTACTTTTAATCCTTCTAAGTGGATGATGGTTCATTTTGACTGCACTGGATTTTGGTGAGTATAGTCAAAGCACAAACAACACCAAAATGATGACATGCAAATTGCAAAGTTTTTCTTTGCACTTATTTTGCTAAATCTAGTTCCTTCTACAATCGATAGGGTTAAAGATAAATACAAGTTACATCAAACCTTCAGTGTTAATCCTGTCTACCTCAGACATGCCAATTCAGGAGCTGCAATTGACTTCATGGTAAGTTATTATTTAAGTTGATATTTTATGTTGCCTGTAAAATTTTCAAACAGACTGTAATTCCTCTGGACTATGCTTACTTTATAGCTGGTCTTACTACATAAACCAAATTATACTGAGATCCTAATGCAGAGAAAATAGTAAAACTTTGCAGTAAACCCTGGTTATGAAGATTAATTATAAAATTGCCTTCAGATTGAAGTACTTAAGATTTTTACACAGATGGAGATCCAGTCTTGCCTTTCTAATGCAAAGGGTCATTTCTGTGTATTGTGTTGCTGAAGTAATTCCTACTGATGGCATTTTGGCTGGATTTCTTGTATCTCTGATATGTAATAAAAGAGAGAAAGGAGTAAGCAAAGGAAAAGCCATTCTCTGAAATAGCTGGAGAATGAATTACATTTTTTCTTCAGATTAAGGTATTCATAGGAGGCATTTCACTGCAGATACGTCTTACAGCAGATTTCAGTACAGTAATACAAAGGAATATTCACTGCCAATTATTTCTGCTGTGATCTCACCCTAGTCCTGAAAAGATAATTGTTTTCTTGAAATCAATAGCGCTTTTCACTGTAGTGGAGAGGGAGGGATGGAAAAAAAAAGGTATTGAGTCCCTCTTGTGGTTAAATTGGATCCTGCACGTGATTGTGCAGCTTCCTTGAATATTCCTTTACATGTTTTCTCAATCTTTTCCTTTGAGTAGGTGTTACTTTGTCTGGAACTGTCTACCCCACTACCAAATCTTGCTGTTTATAGTTGATTTGGAAAAATGTTCAGGAAATTACAGGAGCTGAAGTGAGCACTAGTCAGTCCTAAAGTGTAAATGGCCACATCTTAAATTGATTATACTCTTAAATGCAAAAAGTTGTTGTTATAAGCTGGTAATCGATTTAAAATTCTAAGCATATTTAAGACATAAATTAAGGGGAATAGACAAAATCTTATTTTTGCAAATAATTGAAAACTATGGGAACACAGTGTTTCTTTGATAGCTGTTTCCTAGGTTTAGGAGATTTTCAGTAATATGACACTATTCATCTCAAGAGACATTTCTGACCTGAGTCTGAAGCAAGAAATGTAGCAGTGGAAGGGGAACTCTCCTTTCTGTTGTTTCTGCACTCACTGATGTGCTGTTGTGTTTTCACAGCACTGGCAAATTCCACTGAGTCGTCGATTTCGTTCTTTGAAGCTGTGGTTTGTGCTGCGTTCATTTGGAGTGAAAAAGCTTCAAGCTCATGTCCGACAGGTGTGTGAATTACCAACATGTTATGTTCAGTTCTTGCTGGGTGAGATCAGTAAACTCAGAGATGCAGAGATGAGTAACAGAAATCCTCTCACATGTAAAGCTTGCATGTGAATTCTAAACGCCTGCTGGTTTTACTCTAAAATAATCTGTAAAGATCGACTGTGTAGACAAAATATTTCCAGTCCCCTTCTTGACAGCACTGGACAATGGAAAGGGACTTGGTCAATCACTGCCTTCTGCACTTTACTGAGCCATAATCCGGAGAAGCTTTCTTTGAGGTCAAGTGGCAGCTGTTTGGGAGGCAGGCTGTGATGAATAGCTGAGCCCATCACTATGAAAGTGGACAGGCTTAAGTCTCTGATGGAGTGTAAATGCAAGGGGTCACAGTGTGGATCAATGGTTGCTGCAAAAAGACTCTAATATGACAAAGCATATTCTGTTTTCAAACCTCCTTCTAGAAAATCCCTATGTATAGGCCAGTTACTCATGTTCATTGTCAAGGGTTTGGGAAAATAGAGCCAGACTTTAAAATTCTTAGCTTTGATGTAATTTTTCTGTTTACTCTTATTCATGCATTGGAATGATGTTTTTTAGTAAGGAAAGGAATTCCTTTTGACTACCCAGTTCAGCATTTTACAGTGGGTTTGTGACAATCAAATAGGTAACTTCTTTTCCCCCCCTAATTATAGGGAACTGAAACAGCCAAATTCTTTGAATCCTTGGTTAAAAGTGACCCACTCTTTGAAATTCCTGCCAAGAGACATCTTGGACTGGTTGTATTTCGCCTAAAGGTAAAGATTGGTCCTTTTGCAATCACTTTGGAATGAACTGACCACAGCTGATCTCTCCCCAGACATTAATAACTGTGAATATACTTCCATGTAAGAATTTGTAATTACAATTCCTAGATATGTTTGGATGTCACTGGAATTCTAACTATAGTTTTTTTTATTATTCATATTTAAAACAGGGTCCCAATTGGCTGACAGAAAAACTCCTGAAAGAACTGAGCAGTTCTGGCAGGCTTTTCCTCATTCCAGCAACCATCCGTGACAAGTTCATCATTCGCTTTACTGTGACATCTCAGTTCACAACCAGAGAAGATATTCTGCAGGACTGGAGCATCATTCAACACACTGCAGCCCAAATCATTAGGCAGAATTATGGGTTGCACTACATCAATTCTGGTGATGGGGCAGGAGTCCCCACTACAATAGTTCAGCCTACTTCTGATGCCATTAGTAATGTTCCTCAGCTTTATTTAGATGGAGGGAAATACAAAACACCTTCCAGAAAAACAGTAGTTCAGCCTAAGAAATTATCAGTAAGTCCCAGTACATGTGTGATTAGTCAGCAGGTGAAAGGTCAAGAGGATCCTCTGGATGACTGTTTTCCAGAAGACGTCCAAGATGTTACCAAACATAAGTTAACCTCTTTTTTATTCAGTTATTTATCTGTTCAAGGCAAGAAGAAGACAGCACGTTCCCTTAGCTGCACCAGTGTGCCAGTGACTGGCAATCTGGAGCAATGTAACCCCAAAGCAGCAGCCACTGACAAGAAGGAGTCTCGTACAAATGCCAGAGTTCTTTCCAGGCTGCCTGAAGACATGATGATATTCAAAAAAGGTGCCTTCAAAAAACTAATTAAATTCTACAGTGTTCCAAGCTTTCCAGAGTGTAGCATTCAGTGTGGCCTTCAGCTGCCTTGTTGTCCTCTGCAGGCCATTGTTTAACAAGTCAGAGAGCTTGGTCCTTAGAAAAAGAACCAAAGTTTGCTTATTCACATGCAATACTACGTGTTCTTTTGTTCAAATGTATGTCATGGCAATGACCACTGAGAAAATGCCTGTGCTTTTACTGGTGAAAACCTCATGTATTTATAGATTAAAATGTCAAATAAATCTTGTAGGCCTATAGAATGAAACTTTCTGTTTTGTAGACTGTGGTAAAGAAAATGCCAATTTCTACCTTACCAGTCCTGCTAATGGACAGTTTTCAGCTGGTAGGCTGGAACTACTTTGTCAAAATATGCTGGTCCCAGGAGGGGATAAACAATTTAGGTCTCTATTTACACCACTGGTTTTTTTGGGGTTATTTTGTTTTGTTTTGTTGTTTTTTTGGGGGTGTTGATACCTTGACTTAAACTCTCTAAACTGATGTGAAGATCTGTGTGTGCAGAGACAATGCCAACATCAGTTTTGAACTGTGCAAAAAGAAGGATGTAACCTCTCTAAGAGATTTTGCTGCAGTAGGGCCATTTTCCCAGTTAAACACAGCAGCCCTGCCAGTCCATCTGTTCTAATCAGCTAAGGAAGGCTTTGTGTAACCATGTTGCAAAACAGTTGCCCTTGCAAAGCACCTGTGGCCTTTCTCAGCATTACCTAAGGTCTGTACATCTCAAATACATGAGGAAAGAGAGGAGAAATGGTATTTCCCTCTCTTTCATAACAGAGAACTAAAGGGGCATTATGGAAGAAAGGGTCTCTATTCAGCAAAGAAATGTTTTGCTACAAAAGACCAGTGATTTATGTATATAAAAAATTGGTAGATTGTAGTGGTTTTGATTCAACTGGGCAGAAACATCTATTAAGGACAAATTTCAATTTAGGGATAGTACAGTTGAGGCAGGAAGCATGGTGATTGCTAGGACTTTTTTTTCTGGGAAAGCATTGCTAGATGCTTGCTGCTTTCCTTGTAATTGTTTCCAGACACCTACAGTCACCCTGTCTTGAAGGCAGGGCACTCAGATGGATCTTCCCTCTGATCCAGAAAAACTATTCCCAGGTTATATAAACAATGAGTCTGGTTAATGTTAGATCCTTATACAACATCAGCTAAGCTCATCAGCTAAGGTGCAGGTAGAGTTGGAGTAGTTCTGTTTCATTAAGACAATCTTACATTCACACTTTATTTCTGCTAAAAAATCGATAACCATGTTTGATATAACTTTTAATAGTGCTATTAAATCTTTCTGTTTACACAATAAAGAAATAAACACACAGTGAGGATGGCAGTCCCTTTGTGCCTAGTCTTAGATGTTTAAATCTATATTCAGAAATAGGAAGTACTGCCCTGAATCAGACACTTGTAATTTATAAACATATCTAATGTGCTCATGAGTAACAAAAGCATGATAGAATTTTACAAAATTATGGAAAGGCTCTTTTTTTCCCCACTTCCTGTCCTTTCCTCCACCTGTTTCTTTTATTATGTAATTTACTAGTATTTTATTAGACACTAAGAATATTTTAAAATATATATTGGCTTCTTAACTTGGAATACTTCCTTGAAAGGATAAGACTTCTGTAAGGGACAGACTAGAATGTGTATTTAAGCAGAATAAGTTTGTTGGCTCTATGTCTTTCAGGAAATACAGGGCAGAGGGCAATGCAGTAGATGGTAGAAGTCAAAGATGAGCATGGAACGCTGGAATTGCAAAACACTGCTTCAAGGAGTGATTCAAGAAAGAAATCTGAACCATTGAGGAAAGATAAATAATGTCCATAAATTGCAAGGAAACTGTGTACCTGATTCTCTGTCCTGGCTTATGATTATCATAAGATGCTACAAAGACTGATTGATCCCTTTTTCCTTACTAAATTTTAACTGCAGTTCTACCACTCTCACATTCATTTTATGCAAAAATGTTTTTGAAATGAAGGATGAACTGATATAATTGCAGTGATCCAAACCATCTGTGAAGCACTTAGGAGTAGATACCCCGTGCAGACAAGAGCTTAAGTGCATCTTCAAAGGGGGCACTCTTTAAACACTCACATTAACACTTTCACCTGGGCATCACCTGGCTTGGGTTAGGATATTTTGGCTATAAAACCCCCAAAACTCACACTACGTAAAACACAAGTCCACAGGTTTCTAGAGAGCTCTTCCTTTTGGTGTGCAGCTGAAGCTCACATAAGGTAAATGCTTTCTCTATCCATTTTAGCAGTGTCAGTTAGTGGATTCCATTGTTCCCCTATGCAAAAGAACGATTCATTCAAGCCAAAAGCTCCTTTGTTTTCCTTGCAAAAAGTTAATGTTAGTATGCAGTAAGATTACAGACCTCATTAGGAAAGATTTTTGTTGGGCTTCCCCCTTTCCCTTTATGGTTAGATTTTCAGCAAAATATAACAAATGTTCCCTGTTATTTAATTAGCAAACACCAAAAAAAAGTTGTTTAATTATGCCTGTGGCACACTGCATAGCTTATACAAATACTTAATGACCTGGTACCTTAGAGGTAAATAATCCCCAATAAACTTTCACTGAGATAAATAACCCTTCAATAAACTTTGAAATACATATTTTATTGTAGACTTTAATGACATAAAAACGGTATTATTGAATTCAGCATAGCTATTTCCTTAGTTACTCAGACAATCTTGAAGCAAACTCCATGAATTTCACCCTTCTGACTGGATGTAGGGACCAGGGCTCAGTGCTTCTTGGTGAAGTCTAAACAGCCATTACTGTGAGTAAGGATGGCTTTTTCTTTATTTCCTTTTGTTTTTAATAATTATTTTTAATTTTATATTTTGCTATGTGCCACTAAGGGGACAAATTCCTTCCCTCTTGTTCAGCCTTCTGCTCCCCTTTTATGTTAAATCTGATACTTTCCAGCACAAGGTGAGCGGATTCAGGTCATTGATCTGCCAGGAAAATTCTTCACTGCAGCCTTACTTTCCCTGCTAGATAAATTGGCTTTGCTGGTAGGTGAGCTGTGGCTCTGGTGCAGCAGCAGCCCTGATGTCCGGGCAGGGTGGGCAGGAGCAGATCCCGCAGTTCAGCGGCGCTCAGAGCTCCAGGGAGCCGCTGAAACCTGACCCAGAGATTCAGGTGTCCCCAGCCAGGGCTGCCCCTCCTGCTCCCACACTGCTGCCAGGACCTCAGAACACAGGAGACTGAGTGAGGAGCTGCTCCAGGGAACTGGCAGGGGTGAAAATTAACTGATTTATGTCTAGGGTAAATTTGGACTATCACTAGACATTAGCATTTGGATAAATTAGAGGGGTTTTACACTTCTAGTAACAGAGCTACTGTTTCAAATTGGTGCCTCAGGATTTTTTTAGAAGTTGCTTCACAGCTATAAACATGACAGAACATTTTTGGAAGCTTCATATGTGAGGGCAACTGCCTGGGAAAAGTAGGAGAAATTAGTAGACCCTCTTAGCTAGGGTCACAGCCAGTATTTCCAAAGCATTGCTGAATTTCCATAACTAATTCCAGCTTCCTGCTTAGAGTGTGTAGCAGTTTTGTGCTATGATCCTTCAATGGGCTTTCTGAAAAAGTTTTTCTGTGTAAATTTTTCTTGTTCAGTTAAATCTCTGACTTTCTCACATGGGATGTGATATTAGTTCTGTAACTCCAGTAGGGAATTGTAATCAGCAGCCTGGAGAGCTGAAACCCTCAGGTTTATTGATCACGAATGTAACATTTTGAAGGACCCTTGTCTGCATTATTATTCAGGGCTAATTTGTTTTAAAATTTGTAAACCTTCACACAATAAATACTTGGTTTGCTTACCAGCGTTTTCACAATATATTGTTTTTCTAAGCTACTCCTTGAGATAAACATTTTCCACTGTTCTCCAGCCACGTGTTTCTCAAAAAGGTTTTCAGCTCAAGGCTTTGAAGGGTTTGCCGAAAGGCAAAGATATCTTGATGTGATCCACGAGATGTCACCAGAGGGCAACGAGTAACTGGAAGTTTGTGTTAAATTTGGATTCCGGCTCAATGTAGAGTTAATTAAGAGAAAGGTACACAGAGAGCATGGGAAAGCCCAGCACTCCTCATGCTGGCTGACAAAGGATGCTCCAGGCTGCAGCATTTTCTGTGCAGACAGCCTCTTCTCTTTTTTCTGTTTTGTTATGATTTAACTGGAGCCTTCACTGCACTGCTACAAGTCAGAATGCACCATTCCAGCCAGCTCAAGGGACAATAATCATACCACAAAACAACACTAACCTAATTGCTGATGAATGGCATAGAAATGGGACACAGACTGGATGACTGGTGGCTTCAGTGAACCTGTGTAACAGGTCAGCTGGGTTTGTTCTTTCTTTGTTTGTTTCACCTGACCATTCCCACAGAAAATCCCAGCTGGTTTTTTTTCAGGATTGTTAAATTAAAGCCTTCAAGATTCGTTTTTCCATTTCAAATGTCCTTCTGTCACATTTCAAATTAATAGCTACTACAGTTTCTACTAAAGGTTTATTTGCAGATTTACCACAGTTTTTCTTGAAGGTCTCAAACAGATGAGATCAGATGTTGACCTGATCTAATTAATTGGTGCTGCCAAAAGGGGTCATTCTGTTTCCCTGTCCTCCTTTCGTGATCTTCTAGTTCCACTGCCTCCCTTGCTCCAGCTGTGATGCTGTTCTGAAAGTTCAGTGATGGATTTAACTCATTAAGCCAGCAAAAAAACCTGTATTTTTGGGGTGAGTTCTCTGTTGAATCACTGAGTAGAACTGGCTTATTAAGGAGTCATATGAGTACCAATACTAGGGTTGATACAAAGGAAGGAATAAGCAACAGTTTGATCTTCCTTCCCTACATGCCTACGTCTGAAATTCTTATTCTGTTCACTTCCCACTTGGGAAAGAGTGTGAAGTATCTATTAACCAACATAATTTTTGTAAATGTAAGAACCAGGTTCATAGTCTGTGCAGAGATGAATCACCAAACCTACTCACAGCAGAGTTCAAGCCACTCCATTTTCACCCTCCATGCCTGGCAGAGGTTCAGGGGATGAAGGTCAGTACATACATGCTCTGGCACTACTGAAACTGTGCTTACATCAGCAGTTTATTGGTATTTTTCCATATCTTTCCCCACTTCTGAGGGATGATGCTCACAAATCTGTAATGCAGATTTGTTTCTAGCAGGGTTTCTAGTAGATCAGCCAGGTGAGTTGACTT